AGACCTAGGTTCTTACAATTAAGAAATGCTTCATGGAAAACAATGGAATACTAAGACTGTTCCCAATCTTAGACTATTGTTCACTCCTTTTAAAAAATGAAATGTTTTCCCAAGTTAGTCAGATGCCAGAACCTTGCTCAATAATATTCCTTCATTTGATGAACTCAGCCTCGCCTTAAATCAGCCAATATTTTTAACAAATGAGTTTTAGATTCAACACTCTGCTTCTAAATCACTGGACAGTCTCATAAAATTAATTTATGTGCATTTAAAATATAGCTCTGTATAGAATGCACTCCCTTCATCCACACTGAGGGGAATTGAAAATGTGTCTTAATATATAAACTAGGAGTCTGACTTGGAATAAAAAAGTCTGGTCATAATGGCATACATCTGTAACTGGCAAGTCATAAGACACAGGATCTTAAAGTACCGGGCACTAACATACAGCACCATCTATCTTAACAATATAATTTTTTAATAAAAACATTCTGGAAAACAAACGTAACAACTGCTATTTGACTTCTTACCATTGGTTCCCCTCTTCTGTGATCTGGTTATCTTCAGCATATGCTATGACAGGTGTCACAATGCTTCAAACATTGCATCTCCTGCCCATAAACAGTTAGTCCCTCACAGAATCAAGTTAACATTAGTGGACACCATACTTCATTAACCAAGAAGGAGTAGCTGTTTGCAGTACTAGGCCCAGAGACAGTTTGGCTACAAACAGGCAGTGCATTTGTCCTGGGAAAAAACATCTTATCCTAGGACAAAGTGCAATCATTCAAACATCATCATCCACTGCCTCGGGATAAATCCTAAAAAGGTTCATGGGATAAGAACTACTAAGAGTCTGTTCCAGGTCATTGTAAGATGGATCTGAACAGTCATGCCAGGATTGCACCACCGAATCAAGTGGCACTGCATTCAGCCACTCACTAAATCAGGGGCGGGCAATTATTTTGGGCAGAGGGCTGCTTACTGAGTTTTGGCAAGGCATCGAGGGCCTCATGACAGGCAGCCCAGGGCAGATAAATATTAATTTTCTACATTTTTTAGGGGCCCCGCAGGCCGGATAGAATGGCCTGGTGGGCCGCATCCAGCCCCTGGGCTGCATTTTGCCCACCCCTGCACTAAATCCTGGTGAGAAGGACACTGTGTGCTTATGCCAATGTTGGGCTTTTTTTTTTTTTCCTGGGCAAACACAGGCGCAACTTGTCCAGGGACAAATGCAACATCTGTTCCTAGCTCTTGTGTTTGCAAAGCAGGTACCAGAACCCAAGGAGCTTAAAAGTTGTTGGTATCATCCCAAATATCCAGGGACAGGCCTGAATTTCAGTCCACATCTCAATGTGCCCAGGGACTCCAAGCAGCTGCCTGGAGTGGTGGTAACACCATTATATTTGCTTTGAGGTAGCCATGAGCCACAAGCTGCTACTTAAACCAGCAGCTGTGTTACATGTTCTTGAGTCCTGGCACCCAGACTAGCTAAGTAGCTCTACCTTTCCAGGCAATGGGAATGCTTATCACTGCTAACTCCCCTGTCCTCAGCATCGCACTTTGGTAACTACAGTAACTATAGCCAAAAGTGGTGTGAACTCCTTTTAGTCCCAGAGGTCTATGGAGCATCAGGGACAGACCACCAGCTTTTCTCCCCTGAAAGCTGGTCACTTTATTTGGGGAGAGAAGAGGAGGAGGAAGAGTCAAAGACTGTTGATGTCCTGTAGCTTCTCTGGAATGTAGAAAGAACTGAATTCTGGCAGGGAAAAGATTCCTACAGGGTAAAGTTTAGTGGAAATTTTCTGCTATTTAGTTTGAATTGCGAATCACAATCCAAACCAACTCAGCAGAAACCTCACCTAGGGAAGATGCCATTCACAGCCCTAAGAGTCCTTCTTCTCATTCCAGTTTTGTAGTCATGCTTAAGTCAGCCCTTTAGGAATCTGACCCGTTAGCTCAGAATTTTAAAAATAATATTAAGAATTCACATACGTCTGTCCTCATTTCACCGAAATCCTAATCAAAGATAGTAGGTGACCCGAGCCCACGACCCATCAAGAGTATCTGATTAACACGATCAGCCTGTCACAACCACTTCCACTGTCACCTGATCATCTTTCCTGGCCTCTGTCCTCGCCACAATTTAATCATTCTCCTCACCCCCTGCCCACACAGCAGAGCACAAAGGCAAAGAGAAATGTTCTGCGTTCCTCACCTTTTATTTAAGGGAACAGATAAATGTAGCTTTACTGCCAAATCTTTGCAAGATTAAAAAAAACCCAAAAAACTCTCAAATACAAATAAGCTGAAGCAAAAGTAAATCTGATGTCCCAACAGAAAAGATCTGTTTGACTATTCCAGAAACACATGCCCCTGAAACAAAACACCCTCTGTTGCTTCTCCCCCTTTTTTTCCCCCCTCCTGATTTGTGGCAACAATTCTGAAAGCCAGCCCCATCTCTAAACTAAACAGTTACTGCAGAGATAGGGAGTGACCGTAGGGTGAACTGAAAACTTAAGCAGCCTTGGCTGCAGGAAGGTGAGTTTGCTGGGCCTGCTAGTCTCCTCCTGCCTTTGTAATTTAATACGAACAATTAGTGGGATCATCAAAATGCGAATATAGCTTTCCTTAGCCCACTTAGGAGACATGTTTTCAAACATCAAAACAACAGGAGAGAGTTGTTAATCGGAGAATGCTCAGAAGAACTGAGAGTAATGGAATTGCCGTCCTGGGGTTAACTCACAGGGCTCCCCTTTTCGTATGCATTGTTTTTAAAAAATAAAAATATTCCTACTTCTAAAATTAAAATGCCATCTCTACATAGGCTATCTAGGAAACACAAAAACTAGCTTGAAAAGCTCGTCATAAAATAATTTTTGTCCTTCTTTTGAAACAATGGCTTTGAAGGAGTGCCACATTGCATAATTCTATAACAAATACTTCAGCTGAGGTCAGTTGCTGGCACTGGAGGTCACACAAAAGTAGAAGATACCTAACAGCCCACCAATCTAAAAAAATCATTTTCCATCACTAAAAAAAGGGGGCTTGGAATAAGGCATAAGACTTGTGACAATGAAGGCATGCAAAGGATTCTTCAGGCATTTCTCTGTCATCAACATCTCTTCAGGTCATTATGTGCTTTTCATTCAGGTCACAGTCCAATAAATGTCTTTTATCTTAGAAGCTGATATGTATCTCCTCCTATGCCTAAGTGGGCTGCATTTGAAAGGCATTCTTTGTCAAAAGCTATCGACGTAGATTTTTTAATACCTGGCTATACAAAGCTGCGACATGACATAGCTTTCTGGGAGACCGATAAACGTTCTACAGCCTTAACTGGGAGAGCTTAGGGATTCACACCAAGCTTTCTCTCCCTCCTTCTACTAATTTATACTTAAATGCAAGCATTGTCTACAAATGGAATAAGTGACTGGCAAAGAGAGTACAAGAGTTGACAAACTAAACAAAAGGATACCACATTTACACAAATAACCTTGTCTGCCAGTCTGACAAACCAAACCTTTTTTTTAAGATTTGGAAAAAGTTCTCATTTTTCCCCAGCCTTTAAGTTCCATGAAATACCACATTTCCTGTTTTCACAAGCAAGTGGCTAAAGTACAGCAGTAAAAGTTGCTTCCCAGTGTATCCCTAAACCAAAGGAACTATAATTCCAGGAAAATATACCAAACCTCAAGACGTTCCAGGGTCGAGTACGAGAATGAGGCCTGGAATGTCTTGAGGTTTGGTACGTTTTCTATGAACATGCATCTAAACTTTTAGAGGCTTAGCAAGACTGAAGAGTCATTATACATCATTACGAATTGCATGACATTCTGAAGAGAAGGCATACAGAAAACCTACAGAAATTCTGGTGAAACAGGAACTTTTTCATACCTGAAAACAGGAACTTTTAAACAACCTGAATTAAATCCAAATCCCCTTCAGCCTTGGACACAAGAATCTGAACCCAAGTTTTGAAGATGGTCTCTATTTTAATAGCAAGCTGAACCCGACTCTCAAATCAAAACATACCTGAATTCTAAGGTATTGGAAGCCTGGATAAGCTTTAGCTCATCTCTTCTGAAAACATATAGCAAGAAACTCAAACTATAAAAATGTAACTACAAAAGAAACAAGTCTTTCAAGAGAAGATATGGGCTGATTTGGCAAGTGATGGCCTAAGCCCATGCCAAAGGCCTATTACTTGCTCAACTGGATTGTTGATCATGGCACTGCCCTCCACAGAGACATTTACTGCCAGTGATGAGTCAAAGTTTGCCTTTTAGAGCTGCAAAAAAATGCTTTGTGTATTTTTTTTACACACGTATGTTTCAAATTTGGTATTTACTTTTGTCCTAAAGCCAGGTTGTAAATACAGCATAATCCAATTACCTTTGAACATGTATTTAGTCTCTCACCTATTTCTGCTTGATTAAGATCTTTAAAAATTCTTACACTCTGATTGGTTAACGTTAAGATGTACAAAAATTCCCCTGTCCTCCCACCTTCTTGGTCCTAGAAAATTCTTCCTAAAAATTCCTCCTCTGTATCTGGTACCTATATTTGTATCTCCTCTGTATCTGGTTACTATAATGATAGTTACCTTAGAAACATTATAAATATAATTAAATATAGGGACTATTCCAAAGCCCTTTTAAGTCTATAGGAAATTTACTAATGACTTCAAACAAGCATTGGGATCAGACCCTAAATAACTGTAAATGACTGCTAATATAAAGGGGTGTACTTGCTAGCTAATATAAAAACATTTCTCCTCTATCCCCCTATCCCCTCCTGCTTTCTGTGTGCTTTGAAACTGCACTCATTGTAGCATGCAGCCCTCCACATTCTGGCTTCCTAGAGCACCAGGCTCTAAGAATGGTCTAAAAAAATGGTTTTCTGCCTGTTTAAATCTACATTTAAACTCTGATCTTATAAAAATGACTTGCCGGCCAATCGTTTCTGAAAAAAGGTTTTTAAACTCTTTATCTACTTTCTGTTACCTGTCTGCGGAGAGGAATGCGCTTTGTCAGCTTGTGAACAGCAGGCTGGCTACTGAAGTCAGGCTTCTTGGTGGTGTTCTTCATACGACACAGGATGACTGTTAGCACCATGCAGACAATTAAGAAGACCCCTATGCAGTAAATGGCTATTTCCAGGTAGTCTGGGGATGTCGGGTTTTCTTTTTCTTTCTCAGGAGCTAGATTGCAGGTTCGGAGGAGGAACAATCATGCCACAGAGTCAGCACACAGCATTAGCATACTTCAGTACCTTAATTGGAGCAATATGATATTACAAGAGGATAAAGAGACCTTGCAGTGACTTCGTGAAATACAGAATGCTGTGCATTTCCAAAGGATTTATTGCTCTCACAAATCAGAACACAGGTCCCTCTTTCCAGATCGCTGCTTCATGTCAGTTTTGAACTGTGTGTGTAGATACACACACAAAGTCAAAGTCATGCTAATTTATAATTAAAGAAAATGAGTTAAAGCGCTAAAAATTAAAACTGAGTATCTAGGTTCATCTGTCAGTTCTGCATTTAAGTCAAGCTCTGAGAAAAGGAAAAAATGGGTACATAATTCACTCCAGATGAATAAATATTTAAGCCAATGTCTGGAGAGCAGCAAATGACAGGCTCAAATCAAAATCATTTTCACGAGCATTGTATGTGTCTCTGTTAAGCACCTGAACACATATCTAAAAACAAAACCCTCATTCAATTAGTTAGCCTTTAAAAAGAGAGAGAGAGAGAGAAAGAGACTTATAAAACTCCTAAACAGGATGAAGTTTGGGCATGAGCCCACAGTGCTTGTGCATCCAAAATTTCCACAGGGACCTTGCAGTATAGAAGGAATGCAAGACAGATCAGTCCTTCATTATGTATCTAAACTCAGGCTGGGATTTTCAAGAGTTTAAGGGATCTGGCTGCCCAGCTGCTGTTTAATTTCAATTTAAGCTGAGTGCCTAACTACAACCTTAAACTACTCTGAAGAGGCTAACATCAGACAAAGCCTGAAATACTCAATGTACATTAAGTATATTTTAATCATTCTCCTTCTGTCAGGTCTAATAGTTTTCATACTAACAGTGCACTTTTTGCAGTAACCTCATTCATGCTAACTGGTCACTAAGATTACAGTTACATTTGGTAGAGGGCATAAAATTAACTGCTGAATCATTCTGAAATTAACATCAAGACAATTACACATGCAGATATTTTTAATTCATCTTTACCTAATCCTTTATTTGGAAATCATCCCCCACCCCCAGATAAACAGCATTCCATAGCAATCAGTGGTCACTCTACAACCAGTGCATGTTCAATGATCTTACACTACATTTCAGCTAATGTAATATTCCATTCAAGCAAATTGGTTAAAAAGATGCTGGTGAAGCACACAAAATGCAAACACTGCTAGCAGGGGCAAGCTGTGTATAAAGTACGGTCTGACTGCTTGGTGATGAATGAACCATGCAGACCTCTTTCACAGGGAAAGCAGAGAGGACTGTAATGGCACTGTTTTGCCCAATACGTTTTCATAATAAAGGAGAATTGGCCTATAAATATTGAGAACATTTCACTCGTGTTGCACAAACCTCAACAATCAATACAATTATGTAAAATGCACATGCAGGTACTATACCTTTTGTGAGGCTTAAGAATTAATTAATGCTGTAGTACACGATGACCCAGCAAACCACAGATTGTTCAAGTTTTCTCAAAGGAAATATCAAGGCAGTTGCAATATAGCTAATTTATACACAAGAAAGCTTGACTAGTGCAGAAATAAACTAAGGTTACATTTTCCAACAGCTGACAATTTTCAGGCAATAAAGCGCATTGATGTGTGTTTCTCCTAAGGTTAGAAACAACATCAACCCTAGCATGGCAGGGCATGCTTTGCAGTAAAAGAAAATCAACTATTTATTCTTTTATAACATGCAACACAAAGATTCACAGAGCCGATTCCCAAGGTACATATTGCACTGCTTCTGTGTACACTCTGCCAGCTTTAAAAATCAGGCCAATGATTTGCACGAAGGACTTGGGCTATCAGCAAAAGTGAGGCCCAAGCCCATTAGACAGCTTAAATATTTTGATGAAAAATTATAATGGCCAGATTGGATCCAAACTTCCCAAAGTAATTTGAAATTTCCTCTGACGGGAAAAGTTGGTTATGATAAAATTTGTCTTGCTTTAGTATCTCGCTTTAGCGGTAAGGAAACACATTTACTTCACCTGGCTGATGAACACTTGATGGTTTTAAGAATATTTAAATTAAGCTTAATAATGGCACCGCTTGCCCTTCGCATTTTTTTAGCTATAGGCTAAGTGCCATTTTGTCAAACATTCCCAGCTTCCTTTACAACTAATCATCATCCTAAAATTTTGAGGATGTTAAAATTCCATTTCTGAGACAGAAGCGGTGCTAATTCTGCAGCAATCAACAAAGGAAAAGAAGGAGAAAAACCACTTGAAAGAGAGCAGTGTATACCTGGCAAAACTGTCAACCATGCAGTGTGAAAGGATATCCCAATAGAATTACCCGCCAAGCATGTATACTCCCCAGCATCCTCAAAAGTTACATTCCGTATATAGAGAACCTCAATCTCTTTGTCCGTGGTGTTAACACCGGCAGCCTAGAAAAAAAAGGGAAGCAAGAGAAAAAGCTAGACATTGAGAGGACTCTTGTGGACAGGGCCAGGGAGCCACAGGGCTTTGCACTTTGTAAAAATCAGTGGTGCGCAGATCCAAAGCTCCTTTCCCATCCACAAATCCCTCATCCAAAAGATGTCAACCAACAGCACCCAGCTCACCTCAGAGAGTAATCAACACCCTTCACCAGAACCTAAACTCACCACCTAGATATGCATGCAATCAGACAACATGGAAAAATTAACCCACAAAACTTTGCTTTCTTTTTTTTTTTTAAAGTGTGTTGAAAGAAAAATGCAAAGAAAACAAAATAGGACAGTATCCAGGATCACTCACATACAGGGACCTGTTTGAGAGAGAAGAATTTCTTAGAAACACTGAGAACGTGAAACCTAAGAGCCAAATTCTGCCCTCTGATGCACAGCTTATTCACTACCCTAAATGACTAGAGCTTTGAACTCTAAGTATCTACTGTGTTAAACTTAAAGAGTGGTTATTGTGCCACAATATTAGCAATATTTAGCAGGGGTCTAGCAATTTTTTTCTTAAAGACCTAGGTGCTGGACCTATGTAATAATGACAATGGCAATATTCTTATTCTTCATCATCATCATCATCATCATAATAATGGTGGTTCTGACGCTTTGGGGTTATAGGAAAAGGCTAGACATTCCAAAATGTTCAAAATTCCCAAGGGCAAAAATATATGCATATATATTTGTGTGTGTAGGTTGTAGCCGTGTTGGTCTAAGGACAGAGGCAGACAAGGTTGCCTTGTCTGTATATATTTGTGCAAAATTTCCAATTTTATGATTTGTTTGTTGTCCGACTCATGAGTTTTGAAAGTTTGCAGTTAACTGAACTCATTGGTGTCATGAATTGCCTGTTGTATAGTCTATTAGACAATTATTTACATATAGAATTAATTGAGAAACAGATATTTAACACGGGGTGGCTGGGTCACAGAGCTAGAGAAATTATTTGAAAATAAACTTTTAAATTAAATTGAAATAAAGGTTAAATAAATTATGAGAGAATGAGCAAATTCAATAGTTTCAGTCATTTCAGTTGTAAAGTGTAAACCTTGTAAACTGCAAGCCTTCATTTTAATTTTAATTGTTTTAAACGGTGTGCATGGATCACATGGAGCTTATGTGCCTGTAATGCAGAAGCATCACAAGTGCCATCTTGTGTCTCAGTATACATCTGCCAGAGCTAAAATTGGACCTTAACTGCCTTATAAAATAAGTTCCCTGTTATAAAGAAAACAGTGACAACACACCTGAACACAAACAGAGACACAGACATCAAGTACAAGAGAGTAAAGATTGACTTTGGAAACCATTGCTCGTAGCACAGACAGAATATTGTGGGAATTTTTCCATGGCTGCTGGTGGAATACCAGTTGCATCACCAGAAAAGGATTATAAATACACCAAGACCAAAGAGTTATCCTACAAGCTGCCTGCAGTCTCCCAAAGCACCATTTTTTTCAGCTTCTACATCCAGCTTGCTTTAAAAAACATTGTTACCTTTTGTATTTGGTAGAACAGTGAGCCAGGCAGACTGGTTGGCCTCCCCTATATAATTGGAGACCTTACAAATATATTCTCCAGCGTCCGCCTCTGTCACATTGTACAGTGTCAGCACTTCAGCATTGGAACTATTTATCCCCGAACGCTAGAATAGACCAATAACATAGGAGAACAATGTAACTGTTGCCCGATATGGACATTAATCTGTCTATGGTCCCACCACCAACACTCCATAAGAAAACGCCTTCGACTTCCACGCAAAAAACTAGCAGCAAAAAATAGTATTCTGTTTGTTTGTTTCTTGGTTAAGTAGAGGCTACATCCAAGGTATTCAGAGAACAGGGAGTTGGGGCGGGACAGCTGAGGGAGGAAGGCCATCTGAGGGGGCATACCAGCTGAATGGAACAATATGGGATAGGCCTGCCTACTCTGAATGCCAACGTGTTGGATTCCTGGCACCACCAACCATTCTGGAAAATTTCACACTAGAGAATTTCCTTAAACAAACTTGGCTTAGAACGTCTCCCAATAAAAAAAAAAATAACCTTGTCCCACTGATATTCTTCATCAAGTTGGTGAAAAAATGGACACTTCTAGAGCTGCTGCCTCTCAAGAACCTCATACTGTCAACAGCCCTTGAAAGCAGATATTACATTGTTAAAGGGCCTTCGAAATGAGGCTAAAGAAACACAAGAGCTAGAGCAGACACTCTTTGGTTTGCTTTGGATATTCTCTACCAATAAAATACATGTCAAATGATGTTCTGTTAGTGGTTCTCTCATCTCTTTGAATAACTCTTGCCTGAAATTTGTGAGAGAAATGGTTTTAACTATGAAAGAGCAAAAGACTTTCTGGGATCAGGCATAACAAGCAAACATTTTTCAACTGTGTTTATACGTACTTTTGTTTTCAAAACTGAGTTAGCTAAAAACTCCCAATTGCAAAATTCTTGGCTTTATACAAAGTAGATTCAAGCACTAAATGACCTAACATTCGGAGAAGCCTCACCTTTAAAACTTGAAGGTACGGTAATCCATCTGGCCCGTATTTACTGCCATTCTTCTCGATGTGTTTTATCCACTGAATATGAGGTTGAGCATCACTGTAGACCTTACAGACAAACTCAGCATCACCTCCAACTACTGCAGAGGCATTGGCTGGTAGACCAGCTTGCAGGATAGGCCTGTGTGGAGATCGTTCTGTAGGGACCAAGAGAGTGAATGTGTGAGAGAGAGAAAATAAAGATGCATAAATAAGTGGTGCTGCCAAGAAAACTGTAAGTGAACTCAAGCCAAAAGGCCTGTAAGCCTGTTGGCTGACTCCGATGAAATAACACTGCAGCCAAAATGTATAACAAAAACTACACTTCAAAGGAGATCACTTGAGCACTATACTTGTAGTATAAAGAATGGCCATTTAAGAAGCAAAAAAAAGGTCTACTAAAATGTACACATTTTTCATGGTATGACCACCTTTCTAATAAGGAAGGGAAGTGTATTTTTTTCTGCACAGTTCAGCATATCGGGTGTTTTGAGTTTTCCACTATTTCATTTAATTTTAAACAAGAAAAAAAGCAAATATTAATTAATTTATAGTATTTACCAAGATACTACCTAAAATTAATGGAATGATAGGAATCATCAAAGTAGCAGCTGAGGCAACAGCTGCTTTTTAAGAGGTATAAAAAATTAACTTGACTTGATCAATATTAAAAAGTCAATAGACATCAACTATTAGGAATCTACATCAGAAACTAAGAATGGAGCCTTATCTTAGATACCCCATCGTATTTACTTTTGGTTAATGATGACTTTCAGCCTGTGAACCTGTTAGGCATTCATTATACATTTGTCACTGGGGAGATAATCCTGCTTATCTGACCACACTACACATTCCTGAAGACCATCTGAAGATCTACCACAATCAATGTTTCTAGCAAAATATTAGGGATGAGGCATTTCAAGAGCAAAGGTGAAGTACTGGCTAAAATGAAATTCATAGTGTTTGTGTTATGGACTTCAGTGTAGACAGCTTTTTGCTGTACCTATATTTCATTCTGCACAAAGAGCCTGGACTAATGTCTACTGAAGTCAACAGCAAAATTCTCACTGACGTTAGTGATGCAAGATCAGATCCCCTCACCCCTCAAGTCCTCCGCTGGCTGGGAGCAGAGCTTATGGGTTGACCAGAACAGCTACCAAAAAACACGTCATCTCAGTTTTGTATAAGTGAAAATTGTCTTTGTGACAACCCTGGAAACTGAAGTCTTCCAATTACACACAAAGTAGAACAGACACGAGAAACTCAAACTTCCTGATCGTAGAGTCAGAACCACTTTGGGAGGGAACACAGGATGTTCTCCCTACCCATGCACCACTGCTCACGTCATAATTTTCTTATGATGTGGATACCTAAAGCATCAGAACTGGACTAAAACCAATAACTTGCTGTACTGAGGCCATAGCTTTCAACCAGTAAAAATTTACAGTTTATGCTAACCCAGAAAAAATGACCCAATGGATTAGAATCCATGAATTAAAAGGGAAAAGATCCTTGCCAATCCTTGAGCTGCCCAGCCCCCTTCAAAACATTTGTTTACAAGATAAGTAAAGAATAGCAGAGCTAAATATTTATGTATAGAATAGAGGCAATGTATTATAAAAGCTTGAATGTTATGAGCCAAACACGCTGAATTTTAAATCAAATGTTCTTTCTTAAACATACAAGTTTCTAATAAATTGTACCACAAGCAAACATTGTGAGTGTAATAGCAAATAATGATGCCCATCGAACAATGGGATCTTTCATACAGTCCAATATATTTGGCATGCGGCAAACATCTACTGGGAATTTTTTATTCATTGACGCAACACTGGCAGCACACTACAAAGCAGCAGTCTTATTTTACTTGTGGCAAAAGTGCATTTGTGTTGCAGTTATTAAATTATTCCATGGCTGCGTGTGTAATTTTCAAAAGATCTAGGAACAGTTTAATATTTTTTAATCTGTAAATTACAGTAGAATGTATAAATTGCTATTTTATAGTCCTGGAGAGAACTTATAACAGTTCTCACCTTCTACTAAATAAGCTCTAATTCCATCTCCCCCATTCCTTTGCTTAGGTACAAAAACAGCAAGCAAGATCTCTCTTTAATAGAAACCTTACACCATCTTCCAAAACTTATTACAGCTGCCTTCAGTATAAAATGAAACCTTAGAGAATGTTATTTAAAATGTTTTTAAAAAGTCAGTAGGCCTCATGTTTCATTTCTCCACATCAGGGTTTGATTTCCTTTGCGACCTTACTCCCTGCCCTTAAACAAACCAGAGAATGAGGCCTGAAACATCTTGGAAAAGTTCCTACTATGCCAGCATCAACACACAAAAGTGTTTAGTTTATCTCAATAGCCATCAATGATTTAATCTTCTATTGATGACTGTCAAACATTTCCTCCACACATACTAAAAAAGCTAAGTAAAGAAGTAAAAGCAATGTTTGTACTCCTGATTTTAAATTCCTGAAGGACTAAAGTAAGGCCGTGGGCAGGCATTTGTGAAAGCTCCTCTTACTATATCCCTAAATGTATTTAGTGTAAATGCTTTAGCAGTAAACTAACGTTTGGCCACCAGCACAGAAACAACCAATCAGTGTTTCAACTCCCATTCCTCAATGGTGGAAGAGTTCCTAGACAGGAAAATATTCAGAACTGATCTCTGTTTCAGACTGTTATACGGTGTGCTGTTCTGGAGAACCTTCCTAAAATCAAGACACATAACATGAACTTAATGGGACTTCATTCCTGCAAATGCTGGATTCCACATCTATGATCATGTCTGAAACTAGATCTTATAGTACAAATGAAAACACACCACATACTTTTTTAATGCTAGGAAAAGAAAAAAAAGCAAAATTGAAAAAAAAAAAATCCTACCATATTACTCAATATATTTCTGTGCAATATATATTTTTTGGAAATAGCTGCTTTCATGTGCTGTTTCTGTGCAGTGCACAAAATATATTCAAGGAGCCTGTGCACCTTTAGAAACAGCCTCAGAGTTTGGACAGGGATTCCATGCGTCAGTGTGTATATTTAAAGCATGAGCCTTACGTTAGTATGCAGATATCATCACTAGCCTCATGAGGAGGCTATCACATTTTCTCTATGAACGCAAACCAAAGAATTAAAGTGCTTTTTAAAAGAAAAACAAAACAAAACAAACCCTTAGAGGAGCAACATTTGGAATAAGCAGGCAGTCTGAAAGATATTCAAGGCCACTGATTCGCCTGGTATAACCAACCAAGTATATAGCTAAGTGCTGCAGGTAAGCCCAGCTAGACAGTGTATAGTCACTGGTTATGATTCTGTTCAAAATAGTAAATGTTTTGATAAAAACAAGCAAGAAATGTAGGTCAGCGAGTGCAACGCCATTGTTTTCACTGCATTCTCTCCCTTATTTATGCCAGAGTGAGAGGTGAATCTAGCTCTCGGGAAATAAATCTTTGCTAATTGACCACTGAAATTTTACAGCCTTCCATTCCCACTGCTAACGTAACTTGTTTGCAAAAAAACAAGTCAACCAAATCTGCTCTAATATGGAAAAGTGCCCCAGACTTTAGAAAGATGTTATAATGTCTTCAAGAGTATTAAGCCTTATATCACTGGCACCAAAAACATTAGAAGGTACTTATTTTATTCCCAGCCATTATTCAAGCTCTGGGAACTTTAGTTGCTTACCTCATAGAATTTGGTTCAGTATGTCATGGCCTGGTCCTGCTTTTTAAACCAGCTAAGCCAGTTTAGCTAAATGAGCTATCAAACTTCTGAATTTGAGTAAGCATATGTTAAATCTCCCATTCCTTTGAATGCCTTGAATTTAAACAATGCAATAATGAATATGCAAAACCTTGTTTAATACCCCCCCAAAGAGCAATTTTTAAAAAAGATGCTCTACTAACTATAGAGTCAATCATTTACTAGAGTTCAGTCACTGTGTTTACAAAAGGTAGAGCCACAATAATCACCAGCATACGTAATGTCCTATTTCAAGGTTAGGTATCTAAAACACACACCAATTGTTTAATTCTCAATAACTATAGGTATGAAGGCAAGTAATCCACATCCAAAAGAAACAGAGGCATAACTAGCCTGTTTACCCCCCAAAGAGCAATTTTTAAAAAAGATGCTCTACTAACTATAGAGTCAATCATTTACTAGAGTTCAGTCACTGTGTTTACAAAAGGTAGAGCCACAATAATCACCAGCATACGTAATGTCCTATTTCAAGGTTAGGTATCTAAAACACACACCAATGTATACAACATGTACAAGGTTTGCATTCCCTCACCCAGATGTAGATGAATAACAAAAATCAATATTTGAAATAGCTGTTAGTAGGGACCTACCCAAATCGAGGAGGCAGGTGGCTGCTTTCATGGGCAGAACATGAGGCCATTTTTGTGGGTTTATGGGGGTGGGGGGGCGGCCACTCCTCTGACTGCCCGAGGGGGCCCCCAGGGAGGCTGCTTCTCACCACTGATTGGCTGAAAAGGCTGTCCATCATGTGCCTCTGACAACCCCCCACCAATTGGTGGAGGGTGTGGGGCCACACAACAGGCAGCACTCAGCCACTCAGCAGCAAGGGGTGGGGGTGGCAACCATCTTGGCTGCTCCCCTTTGTGCCAGCAGCCCCTCCTCCTCAGCAAGCTGTTTGGCCATGACTGCTGGTTCCCACTGGGAAGCCAGCTTTTTATTTTTTGTAAACTTTTTTTCCCCACAGATTTCACGGACAGTGCCCGATTTTGCATGTTGAGTAGGTCCCTAGCTATTAGAAAGGAGCAAATGAACAAAAATGCTCTCCCCTCAATTCATAAGAAATAGTAATAGTTTAAAAGATGCATGACTGAAACTTGCCATCGAAGCATCAAGCTAGAATGCCTTCCTCTAGCACAGATATCTGAAGAATCATCCAGGACTTTTCCATAGGATTGACCTCATTAAATTGCTTAAAGTGTCACTTCAGAGGCAGTTGGCTAGTGAACAGGACCTCCTAACCCTGAAGAGCCTATGGAGCCTTCCAGTGGACTGAGTGGGACTCCACCACATTCCCTTTAAATAGTTTGGATTGCCAAGCACAGGATCTCCAGAGACGGCATACGGAAGATGCCAGTATTTTGTTTAAAAAAAGGCAACTGCAACTC